TTAATTCACATTATCTTATTTACTTTAATTTCTTTTTTTTTTCTCTTATTTTCTTTATTTTGATTTAATATTTATTTTCCTTTTGTCCGTACATATTGTGAGAATGCATACTGAAGTCATAATAATAATGCCCTTCAATTTGACAGATTATATTAATATTCAATAAATGCGTTTTTATTTCTACAACTATAGGTATTTCTTTGTTTTGTATGTTGTTTTTTTTAAATTACCTACTTTTAAGTAATTTTATTTTTACTTATTGTATATACTTTTTGATTATTATTTAGCTTATATTTATTTTATGTGTTCTGTATATATGGTATTAATGGCCTATATGTATTTAATGATACTACTATAATTTATATCTTACTATAATTATTGTCCGTGTGACAGAATGTTATATTACTGAATAAAAATAAAAATACTATTAAACTAAATAACCTCTATAATTAATGCAGTTTTAAACATTTATACCTTTCTTTATTCGAATCCATCATATGAGGAGCATTAGATTTTAATTTGATTTAATGAAATATTCGTATTAATCAGAGGATCGAAACCTATATGTTCAAATACAGATTTTGTGAAATTTTATCTTCTTTGTCAACGAAAGAAGATAAAATTTGACAAAATATTTACAAAATAAAACGGGCGTGCGTTTTTATTTTCCATCAAAAAAATGTTCTTCCTTTACTACTATAAAAGTAATTATGAAACTAAATATAATGAGAAAGTTGAGTATTTTTATTTCTTCAGTTCATTATTCCTAAAATTGGTGTCTTGTGGTTTTATTTGTTATATAAGTTAGGCTATTATTCACCAACATTTTATTTATTAGCTATTTTATTACGACAACGTTTCGACCATCACAAGGGCCATTTTCAAGTCTGGAAACATTTTAATGTCATTGTTAGTTTACATTTACAAAAAAAATTACTTCACATAATTAACTAATCTAACGATCCATGTCATACAATTTCAAAACACATAGGTTTGTATACTTTTTTAAAAAACCTTTCGTGTTTACTCAATACGTGCAATTGATTATTACCTTATTGAGTCCTCCATTAAATTTCCATTATTCAGTGTCGTATTAATTTTTCAATAGTCCAAAAATATTGCCATTTATGTATAAAATCAAAATCAAAGTCATTATCAATAAATAAATTATTAAAATGAATTGTTAACTTAAGTCAATTTAAGTACCAATTTTACAAAAAAAAAAAAAAAAAAAAAAAAAATGCAGTTGCTTGATATTGAACTGAATTCGAACCATTTAAGATTGTGATTAAAGGGTTAAATTTTAATTTATACTCTATATGAAAAAGATGACATTAGATGCCAGTTTCATAGATCAAATTTAAGTTTGATTTCGTTTAACAAAACTTTTTGGATTTCTACATGTTTTATAAGAAATGTAAAGGTGGCCTTTGACATATCTTAGTCCATACACTAATTGAAATGTATCCATATTATTTTTTTAAATTGTTAGAGGTTTTACAGATCTTGTAAATCTTTGTCCGCTTGTCCGTTCGACTTGTCTTCTCCACTTTTTCCACTCCTGGGCCATTGTTTTCCTGTTTGTTGCATGAAGCTCTTTTGATTGATTAGATATATCTGTCTGAATTTATGCCTCCTAAATGGTTTCTTGCCCACTATTGTTGATAGATTCCTTATAGTTCTTAGGCCTCCTTCGAGTTACACGTTCCAGCCATTAATTTATTTTCTAGTACGTATACAGGATGTTGCAGTTCTTAATGACCGAACTCTAGAGGTTTATTCTAGATAAAATTTTCAACAGAAAAGTTCAGTTGATGCATGGGCCTATTCCGAACGAAAATAGAGTTAAGAATGATTTTGTGTTTCTCTTAAGCTTGTCACGGTTTTTATAGAATAAGAAGAAACTGCTCAAAAACTGTTCAAGCTAATTAAATTCTAAATATATCATCGTGAAGTAGACACAATTGCTTGATAAAAAAGTAATTCAATTTTCACTGTCAATAGGTAAAGGTCCATGATAAAAGGGACTTCCAGAAGGTCTAATACGGCCGCTGTACAGAAATATGCTGCTCGTATTGCGGCCGTATCAGAACTCCTGAAATTCCCTTTTATCATTGGCCTTAGTAAATTTAATCACTGTTTTCTCAAAAATATTTTGTCTACTTTAAGATGGTTTACTTAAAATTTAATTATCTTGAACAGTTTTTGAGCGATTCCTTCTTATTCAATAAAAACCGTGACTACCTAAAGAAAAACACAAAATTTGTCTTAACTCATTTTTCGTTCGAAATCCGCCAAAGTATCAAATGAACTTTTTTGTTGAAAATTTGGTCTAGAATATCCTCCCAGAGTTTGGCTATTAAGAACTGAGTCACCCTGTATACTTTTTTTTAATAATAAAATTTCTTTTAAATCGACATTGAAGAGTTTTACATGATTTTCAAAAGGTGGTATTTTCATGTACTATTACTTGTTTAATGTTCTGTGTTTGATATTTTATTGGGACCATCAGTATTGCCTAAAATCGGTCTTGGTATTGAACTTGTGAACATGATCAAGATCGCTTAATTGTTGCAAGATCAAGACCAAGATTCGTCTAAAAAAAAAGAAAAAAAAAAAGCGTTTTGTGAATAACAATTAAGGCAAAATAGTTACTAACACTTAGTGTTGCCCAAATGCGAGACCGAGACGAATCCTGGTCTTGCAAACTCAGTCTTGGTCTTGCGCAAGAGTCTCGCAACAGTCTTGAAGTTACTTTTTAGCTTATTACTATAGAGATATTACAGTACTTTTTTACAGAAGAGAAACCTTTCTAAACACGAATAAAAATTAGAGGAGTTAAATGCAAAAGTATATTGGTTATACCAATTATTAATATATAGTAAGTAAGATTGTCAAGTATTAGTAAATATTTTACTTTAATTTTTATTCAAAAAATTGATTTTTTTTAACACTCCTGGTCTTGTTCTTGCAGGCGGCCTTGGTCTTGGTCTTGCACTTTGCAAGACCAAGACCGATTTTGGGCAACACTACTAACGCAAGAAAATTTTAGTTACTATATCTAAAAAATTGGTAAAACTGATATACTTTTGCATTTAACTCTTCCAATTTTTCATTCGTGGTTAGGTTTCCCCATTCTGACAAGTGACACTAATACATATATAACGTGTAGTGGTAACTTTTTTAAAATTTCTGACAGAACTATAAAAAAAATTGCTAACATCGGACCAGTTTTATAGCGATATTTGTTTGAACTTTATAAACTCTGTTAAAAATATGTTTCTCAAATGCTGTTTTTAAAGTTTCAAAATTTAATCAGTAATACAATGAGTTAATATTGCTCTTAGGCTATTACTAATAGTTTCTACTATTAGATAAAAATATTGGGAAATACTTTAATGCCGCTTACTTACATTATCAGATGAACTACAATATGAAATAAAAATCCTGGATAATTTATTGTTTGATAAAAATCACCAAATCCTGTCTAAATTCAGTAGTTTTTTTTCTGTTAATTTCCTTAGATGAAATATTTAAGCTGGTTCTATTTTATATGGAAATCAAATCTGAGGCTCTTCATTGAAACAAATTCTTTCCAGTACGTTTCAGGTGTTCTAGATTTTACGATATCCTAAAAAGGTTAACTTATTTATTTTTATTGTGTGTTCAATGTAAAACATATATAAAAAATTAATATTTCAAAAATACAATTTTGAGTTAGGTACAAATGAGTTAACAGCATTGAATAATATTATTGAGATAATAAATAAAATTTAATATGCCAAATTAATCTCATTTTTCTTAACCCTGTTTTTTATGCGTACTTCTTATTTATTTATCATGGGTGATAAAAAATAAGGACGCAGTCTTTTTAAAAAAAAAAATATATATATTTTTTATTTATGCCAACGTTCCAACCCAAACATGTGGGCCATCTTCATACTTACTTCATACTTATAGTATTTCCCACTATTTTTATCTAATAGTAAAAACTATTATTAATAGCTTAAGAGCAATATTAACTCACTGTATTACTGATTAAATTTATTTATTTATTTTATTTGTTTATTTTATTTTATTTTTATTTATTTCTTGTGGTACTATTAGGCTTAAATTAGGATTATGAGCACTACGAAAATTTATACCATGGGCTATTTATGTACTTTAATCTATATCATTTATTTCTGATGTTATTTTTCCTGGAAACGTCGGCGAGCTAAATAACACAAATCTAGACTTAAAACCCTGATTATTCATCATCCTCATAATTTAAAATAAAACAATTAACCAAATATCCATTTCGAATATTTACAGTTTAAAATTATGATACTGGATGCAGTATTTAGCAATTTAAACAATTAATAAAAAATAAAACAAAGCTTCAAAACTAGCAGAATAGAGTGTAAAAATTAATTTTTTTTCAAAAATCATGTCTAATTGTACACAACCAAATTATTAACCATTATTATTTTTTAAAAATTATTATCTAAAAGACTGACTTAGTTGATATTCCAACTTGAATATATTCGTTAATTAAATCACCAATGTACATATGATGTAATTTATATCTAGTATCTGTCAGTATTGTTTGAGTTCTGATACGAACGCATTGACATTTCCAATTTGGATCTGAAATCTGGCAGTTGCTGATGTTAAGCAGTTAAAATTGTATCACTACAGTATCACCTTATTATTGCATGAATACGTGATGAATTTTGGATGTTAATTATTAATATAGCGATTACTAGTATATAAAACCCATCATGGAACGACGTTGAATTGTTAATTTGATAATGAAGCTGAAATGCGTGATAAAGGAATCAAAGAGAACAAACGGTAGAGACGAGGAGAGGGGGGGACAGCTGATCAGATGCTGCTAATCAATGGAATAAACTGTACTAATTACTAATAGAGGAGGTTGTGGGCGTGGCCTAAGGAGGAACTCGGGCTCCCCACCTCTTAAGCTCCGCCCACCGGGGCCGTTGGTGAGGGTGACGCCTATGTCACGCCCACGCCACCCCACCCCCCTCCAGCTCTGCCCCCACTACTCCCCCCACCACTCTCTCCTCCCCCCACCACGTGTCAGTCCCGTTCTGGAAGTCGACGTGTTCGCGTCGCTCCTGTGCTCCAGTTCGTTGTGCGTGCCATCACCGCAGCTTCAGTGTGTTCAGTGAATCAGTTACGACTCATAGGGCTAAGCAGACATATCGTAAGTTTTGTCAAGTGTTATTGTAGTAAATATTATTCGATATTACTAGCCTTGATGGTTTCACCTACGTCGGATTGCTGCATGACCAGTTTTTTCTTTATTTCCGTTCGTTTTGTTGGTGTGATTCTTGTTTTGTTTTCTTGTCGAGTACTTATCATTATCATTGTTCATCGTGTCTCTGTTCTATAGCTCTTGAGAAAAATGTTTCTTTCAAATTTTATTTTGCGTCGTTTCTTGATGTTATTGGCGGAAGAGAAAGTTGCCTTTTTTAAGGAGCTCGCCTCAGCGAAATAGCTTATGTTGTGATTATGCCCCAACCAAAATTCTTGTTCTTCATCTGTAATTATTTCTATTACTCATTTGTTGTTATAATTTATATAAGAATCATCTCACGTGTAGGAGGACCTTAATTATTTTAAAGTTTTGACCTGTTGTCATTCTGACTATGACATTTTTTTCAACTTTCCATTTATATGTGCGTTGTCAGAACATTGAATTTTGTCAAGAAACAAACTGACTTAACAGTTATTATATAATTAATCGATCGTTAGAAATTTCCTTCCTCTATTTCTGTTGTCCTAACCCCATGGTATTTAACGAATTCCAAATTTTATTTAATTATCATCCCGTATTTTCATGTTATTAGAAGTTTGACATATTTTTTAGTAAATTAACTAAACTCAGGAAATAATTGAAAAGCCAAATATCTTATTCTGATAGAGTGATAAGAGATTTTTGTGGAAATCTCTGGTGCCTTACGTGGTAGCGAGTGCCATCAACCTGTTGAAGATGTCCTCTCCCATCATGGTAGCTGAGGTGTCTTAAATAGTCCTCACGATTCCTCCCTTTGCTGTTATCTATCCCTCCCACAATCCTAATAAATTAATTCATCAAATCAGTAGCATAAATAACTTTTATTTCTTGCTTCATGATATCTTAAAACTTCACAATTTAACCATGACACGATGTCCACTTCTCGTAAAATAGCATCATACATCGGTTTTGTAACGTCCAGTAAATTCCTTCATTTGTTTTATAAAACTATGGAATTTTGTATTAAACGTTTATTCACGTACTGTAAAAGCACACGAAAAACAAATTTAATTTAATGTCCATTTAATTTTTTAATGGAAAAACCTTCTTTTTTTTTTTATGACATTCTTTTTTTCTCTTATCATATTTCATTTCACTTGAGCATTAATAGTTATCATCTCATACTTCTTAGAAACAAGAATATTTATTAATTCTGTTATTATAATTATGTCTTAATTTCGATAAATTGTCAGAATTTTATATCATAAGGAATTCCCTTTTGACTTTCTCTGTGATTTGATAGGTGCTAATTATTCTAATCTTGTTTCTACTTTTTTTTTTTAACTGATAGCACTACTAAAATTCCCTTTGTCATTAACTGTATTGTTATCTTTCACTGATAAGCATTTTTTTTTTTTTTTTTTTACTCTACTTATAATTCTGTACGAACTTGGGAATCAAAGAAAAATAAACCATGGAGGATATTTCTTTTGTTTTATCAAGGTATAAGCTAATCAATTTTTTTAAGTGTAGGATAAAAAGTAATTAGAAGAAAATATTAAAAATGGTGGAATAGATTTCTAAAGTTATTTCTTCCTTCAATCGAATGTTTTCAACCAGTGAGTATAAAATTGCAACGTCTTTAGACTATTTTTTCTTTTTTAAGCATAGAATTACATTCCTCTATGGAGTGTTATTCTATTAAATTCTTCGACGCATTCGGTGTCATTTTTGAATATTCATAGATCATTTTCTATAAATACTTCAAAACGAGAATTGGTATCATTAAACAGAGACAATGTTCCATTAGAGATTGTAAAAAGAATTTTTGGATTTGGAGGTAAGGTAGAAGTACAGTAAGCGGATGAAGTTGACGATTTTTTTAATGTGAGTTGATGACGTCACTTCTCACAGCTGTTGAACTAAATTTTAGATTTTTTTTCTTCTTTTATATTTAATGTATTTAAATATAAACTTATTCGATAGAGAAACAATTTCGAATTATTTATGGAGCACACTATTGGTTAAACTACATATAACTAACAATATATGTATGTATAAAAATCATTATAGTTGATCAGAATATTATATCGATGATTTTTTTCTTATCGTATCAGATGTTTTTACCATGTCTAAAAAATAATAATAAAAGTTTCTGTTACTGAGTAAAGTTCGACAAAGTTAATCCCTACTATCGTAAGCATGACTTTTCTTGTGGAAGTACGCTGTACAATATGGGTTTTTAAGAGTGATAATTGGATAAAAACTCTTAAATATTCTGTGATTAGTTACTTAAAACTTAAAAAATTTATATTTTGTTTAATTAAATTTTCAGATATTTTCATCTACATTTTTAATTTTGTTTTTCGTAAATGAAATTTTCAATGTTGCAATATATTGTATATTTATTGTTCTTACTTATAATCCGGAAAAAATATTTGATAGTTAACTATTTTTACGCTATTATTTTTCAATTGGTTGTGTTGATAAATCTACTTGATTGTCGCTTAAAAATATGAAGGTATTGATACCAACATAAATTTACATATCTCTATGTTTCAAAATATAGAAATATTTAATGTACCATTTTAATGTTTATGAATACATGCCAATAACAGATTCAAGAATATTTTTAAAATCTAATTATTTACTCTTATTTAATTTTCTTGAGATATGTTATTCATATAGTTTATAAGATTACTAAAATCTTTAATTTACTTATTATAAGTTTTCCTAAAAAAATGCCATATTAAATCAAAACTAAATATGAAAATGTTGAACTTTAAAGATTTTCAACAGTAAAGAATTATTATTACTCCTTATATCCACTAAACAATGGCAAATCTTTCAAAACCAATTGATTTATATTTTTTACTGAAAATTCATTGATAAACATTTTTCAGTCCTTATTAAGACAAAATATTTGTATTGTTTAGTAAATTAATTCCGTTGTCTCAATTTAAATGTAATCATATTAAACCCATAAGAACAAAACAATAATATGAAATTGTTTCATTTTATTCATTTAGTGGTAAGATTCAGTAAATTTTCAAAATCTGGTGTAGTTAATGATTGGTAATGATGGTAAGAAAAAAATGATTGGTAGGAAATTGATTGTAATGACAGATTTGATAATTTTATGTGAGTTTGATTAATTGATGAGACTATTACATCTAAATTCCGTTTGTAAGTAATTTATTTAAATATTTTGTGGGATTAGGCATTATAAAACATATTTAATATTTTTAATAATATATTGGCCACAATTCAAATTATAAATGTAATTGAATTTAGTTTTCAAGAAGGTGTTTTATGAACACATTGCAATGAAACTATAGATGGAGTTTATTGGTTTAAACGCTTTCAAACTAACATAGGAGTACTAGAATATATTTTCGTTATATTTTCCATTTTTTTTTTTAAATATAATTCATAAATGAATGTTCGAGCCTTTAGTACAATAAAAACAGTAACCTTTAAACTAAAAAACATGCTTATCACTGAAATGACAAGACGTGCAAACATGCAAATAAACGTAAAAACTGACGGTTATTTTTGCTTTAAAATTTTATTTTTATGAAGACCATCAAACTAAAGAGAACTCAATTCCACTCCAGAAAACAATTATTAATATAAATAACTTTAATTGATAATTATAATTTTGAAAAATAAGATATACGTAAAGTGTAAATAGAAAATAATACTTTTCTTTTGTTCCTAGTTTCATTTGTTTTATTTATTTTTTTTTTTTTGGAATAATGAAATAAAACGAATGGATGAAAACATAAGGTTTCAAAAAAGATGAACTTAGTCCTCTTTTCAAGTCATATCTACTAACACTTCTATAGGTTGACTAACATAAGAACATATTCAACTTTTTCATTAATGTGTTGACCACTAATCAAATACCTAGTTATTTAATTTTTTGATAATTTTTAATTTTTTATGTTTTATCTATATATTTTTATTGATTTATTAATCTTAGCTTAAACGTATTTAATTACTATTCAATTGAGAAAATAATATGTAAATATATATATATTTAAGTTAATGAAACTATACATCATATTGAAATATTTTTAAATTTTATTGGAAAATGTATATTGAAAGATTTTTAACAGTAACATCAGTTGTTACTTCTTACATCATCTTAAACGACGGCAGAGGTTTTAAAAAAATCTAAACTAGATTCCGTTTTTAAGTAATTTATTTAAATATTTTGTGGAGTTAAGTATTATAAAACATATTTAATATTTTTAATAATATATTGACCATAATTCAAATTATAAATATTATCTTTTTTTTTGGTTTTAATATATATATATATATATATATATATATATATATATATATATATATATATATATATATATATATATATATATATATATATATATATATATATATATATATGTATACAGATGTATATACATTATTTTAGTTGATTTATTAATATTTGGTCAAAAAATTTATTTGCACTCATATTTTATTATATATTAGAACGTTTTCTTTATCAAAATCTTGTTTTTGGTTTATTTATTTTACTTTTTTCTGCCTAAAACAATATAAAGCTGCCAGAAAATTCATGGTTCTAGTAATAAAAAATATTTTCAGGCTTACTATACTTACTTACTATTACTACATGAAAAAAAAAATATAATAAATCATATTGAAAAAAAAATGATATATAATCAATAAATCATTTTGAACTTTTAATTAAAAAAAATAAAATAGTAGCCTCCTCTCTATTTAGTGTATAAATGTATTTAATATATTTTCAAAATCTATAATTATATGATGCAAGATAGTATAGTTTATTAAACTTTTACGATAATTTTCTATGCCTAAAATTATAGCAGCTACAAAATTTGTGGTTCTAGTAAGAAATTTTATTTTTAAGACTTAATATCCGCCTTCATCCTGTTTGTTTATTTAATAACTATTTTATTGAAAAAATGTTTAAAATATAGTATATATAACAATCAAATCAATCTATTTTTTTTAATAATAATATAATAACCTTCTTTTTATTTAGTGTATAAATGTATTTAATAGATTTTCAAAATCTATGATTATATGATGTAAGATAATATAGTTTTGCAAAATTTATATTATTACTGATATAAATACCTGCACACTTTCTCAATCTAACAAATGTTTATTATTGATAAAAAATACTACTTTATTATATTAAAAATAATCGATGGTCTATCCCATTTCATTTTGTTATTTATCTATTAATTTCTATAAAAGCATTTTGAAGATTAAATATTTTACAATATACACATATTTTCTATATTTATTTGACTTTTTCTTATGACTTTCTTAAACAAGCGATTTTTTAATATCAATGTTTTACAATTATCCAAAATTGTAGATATATTATACAATACATAACTTTTACAACCCGAATAAAATAGAAAATATGGAATTTTAATATGAACTCTTTTGATAATATCTACTTTAAAACTTGTATACACTTTGCTGCTCCCTATTTTAATTTTAATTATTTAATTTGTTAATTGTGCTAGATTATTTAATATTGCAGAATATTTGGGTTATCGCACTAGTAGTACTAGTAGCTAAAAAAAAAATTAATTGCAAAAGTGAACTTCCCATATGATTCTGAAGTTGTTAGTTGAAAGATGCCTCTATATTTTTATTCCAAGACCGTATTACTTAATTTTTCAGAAGCTTTAATATAATTCGATTTCAAAATGTTTAAAGTAAAACAATTGAATCGTTTCTTTGAACCTATCCACGCAATACAGAAATAGATTCGAATGTCAAAATAACTCCAATTGTCGATTTAAGCATATTTTATATATTGAAGCTGTCCGATTGGTCATTTCTATCTAAATAATGATTTATGCATTTTTAAAGCTGATAAGGGATTGGGGAAGGGTGTGAATCCTAGCGTTGGAGTACGCTAGCGAGGAAGGCTGATCTTTGTTTTCCAAAGAATACAATCCACCCTTTGGTGGTTGTTATCACCTTGCAATTTACCGTTACAGATAAACCTCTACATCTACTAACCATTTTTATTAGAGTTATACTATATTTATAGTTAGCATGCAATATTTATTCAGCTGAAACCGTTGCTTATGTTGTTCTTAAGTTGTTATTTTATTTTTCTTAACTATGTTCAGCTTTGCATATCCATCTTGGAATTTGGATGTTCTGCGAATCAGCTAGGACTTGTCCACTTATCCCCCGCAATATTATAATGGCATCCCACCACCAATTTAGTCAGCTAATTTTTCTGTTCAAGTTTAGAAAATTTCCATTTTTCGCTTCCTGACTTTTCTTTAAAGATTCCACGGTTTATTTCTATCTCTAATACACTTCTTATAGCAGTATGAAATTATTTTTAAAATATTTCCAGATTATATATATATATATTAAAAAATAATATATATATTATTTTTTAATATTAAAATAACATTTATTGTCCCAGTTTCGGTGATTAAAAAATACGATGGTTAATAAATAATCAAATCTCGGCCATTTTTATAAATGTTTGAACATATAGTTCTTCATCTAACTCCCGAACCAGTGCCGCTGATTAAGATTTGTGTAAAAAAAACCTGGTCCACTATCAATTTATGTTGTATTTTTTTTTATGTATACAGCTTCATGTTAGTTATAAATTTAATAAAAAATATCTCACACCTCAAAAAAGAAAACTAAGAAATAAAAAAAGATCTTGTGATGATATTGTATGATATTATTTTTACTATAAAATCTAATATTTTAAGGAAAAAAAAATTTACGTTCAACCTTTTTTACGAAACTGGCAGCGAATCTTAGCTTATTAGGGTGACAAAACTCAACTTAATTTATATATATTTAAAGATTTTAAAATAAAGATGTTGTTCTAATAGTGCATATTTGTGGTCCAGTAGAAAGTTGATAAAAATAAATCGAGAATAAGTCATGATTTCATTGAAACCAGAGCTTAGTTTGCTTAAGCTGTTTAAAACCCACAATAAAATAGTTTTAACACCGACCGGATCTATTCTCATTTGGAAGAAATTTTGTTTAGTTTATTATGGAGTATGGAGTAGGTGCCTAAATTAAATCATTTTTTTAGTTTTTGCATCGATTACACAATAAACAAGATTTACCTATGTTGGTCAAACAAAAAACGTGAAATTTGAACATTTTTGTAACTCTTTGAAGTCTAAAATTAATCCGGTCACTATAGAGAATATCTAAATTATAAAAAATAAATCTCAGTCCCCTGGTGTTCCTCAAGACATTATCCTCGTGCCTTTCCTGTACTTTAGCACGGGTGGATCTACAGGGGAGCTTTCAGGCTGAAGCCCCCCCTTCTCCCCCCAAATGGTAAAATATAACCATGTTTTATGGAAAAAAATATTAAAAAAACGTCTCTTAAAGTATTATTATTCGTGTAATTACATTTAAAAGTACTTAAGGAATCACTTAAACACCATTTTATATAGATAGTTAGTTTCTTTCTTTTTTCCAAAGTAATTATAGTAATTGAAAAAAAAGCTTTCGGGCTGAAGCCCGCCCCAAAATTAAATCCTGGATCCGCTAGTGGTTCGAAGTGTATACACCTCAACTCATTTTATCATGATCATTACCACATATGCTGATGATGCATGTGTATAACAGTTATTAATTAACCATTTATTGCTATCCAAACCCTTCAATCACATATCACATAGCTTGAAGAATAGGGCGTTAAAATAATTTCGAATGGATCACATCATAACACCTTTACCATTCATCGTAAACCTATGACTTTCTGCCCAACAGTATCCTTTAATACTCCACTTATCTCTGTTGAACAGTTCCACTAACTAGCTCTCTATTTGGACAAGCGTATTACTTGGGATCCTCATACTAGACTGCTTGACAGCCTACATAATAGGCAAACAATCTAAGCTTTCAATGGCAAAAGATTCATTTAATTGTCTGTCCGTTTTTTTATTTAAAAAAAAAACCATATCTGGCCAAAAACTACATTAATAAAAATTAAAGAATATATACAATGTCTTCAGTAAAAATTTATGAAAAGAAATTAAAAAAAATTAATGAAATGAAAAAAAACAAAACAGAATCAGGCAAAATAAAAACAAAATGTTATAAATACTATGAGTTGATTCTTAAAATTATAACTTTAACAATTTCGACGACCATTCACTTTAAACAAAATTTATTTCTTCCAGAAAACAGCTATCGATATTTTTCATTGAGTTTCCTACCTGTCCGTGAAAGCCATCCTCCACCCTTTTGGTTTTTACCGAAAGCAACTTCTCCTTTGAGTTTTGGTTACAGGTAGGAGTGAGTGCCCTCTACCTGGCACCTCCCTCACCTGGTCTTCCACTTCTACCATCCTTCATCCACTCCGCTAAATAGTCGTCCTGTATAAAAATATTCTCCACAACTATTTCCTAGTTTCCCACTATTTACATCTGGCGGCTGGCGGACTGCCAGGGCGTCGCCAACAACACTGCCAAGTTGTATCGCCTTGGACCTATCGTTCCGTCTGATTTATATACTCTTTCCAAATCGAACTACCACCATCCGGTTTATTAAAAACTCCTAGCAGTTGCCAAATAGCATATAAAAATGATACGGAATATTATTGCAATGGGGAGGGAAAAAAGGTGTCGGATTGCTTATGCTTTTATTGATATCAGACCCTATTAGAAGCCAATGCAGCCTGACCCATCTTATGATACTTAATACAATAATAATCTACCTTCGAATAATTTTCCTGTTTTTCTGAGAATGATAGATTACCTAGAATAGCAAGAACTATTTATAAAATGTCGCATGCCACGTGACTTCAAAGAACAGACAAAAATATAGCACAGGATACAAATAATAATGAAATAAATAAAAGGCAGATTTGATGACCAGATTAGCGAAAAATAATGGCTTAAGTGTTCTCAAAAACTGATCGCAACATGTTGTAATATGTTGGATCAATTAAAAAGGATAGCAGGAGTGACAAAATTAATAGTTTACAATGAGGGATAATAAACTGCAAATGGTGCTGCAAAATATAAAAGATCCAAAAAAAAAATTTAAGCTGGCATGGAGAGAAGTTGGTTCTTACCCGTCTCAAGATTTGGTATACTCGATTCACCTAAGGAAATCTAATTTTTGGCCTAAAACTGTATATACTGTATATGTTCCAAAGTATATTCTTGATTAAGTTGCCTGTTTAGAACATCCTATAGCATTTCTATAAAATTGGTACCGCAAGTGTCAATCATAGGAACGCTCTATGTAAAACTAATTTGTCAATTTTTAATTTAAAATGACTTGGTCAATTTTACTATTTTTGAAAATATTGTTTATGGATAGTGCTCTGTGAAGAAATGAAATAAAATAAAAACTGCCCTCTTTTAGATCATCGTAAACTAAAATGTATTCATTTTCTAAAATTCACGGGATTGGGGCGTTTCCAATCAGGAAAACGACAAATTTTGTCCATTTACTAAAAACACATGAACACCCACTTTCTTTCCATTGGAATCGTAAGATAAATTGATGACAAAATCGAAAAAATATTGTGCTGTTTGCCATGACCTCAACCTCCAACATATCAAAATAAAGAGTTGTATAAGATAAACGACCCAATATTTTTATAGACCATCTTTTATTTATTTATTTTTTTATAGAATTATCTTACAATTCAAGAGGAAAGCATGCCTATTTATGAATTTTTAATACCACATCATATTATACAATTTAATGAGAAATGGTCCTATTTCTTTGAATTTCCTTTTATAAAAAAATTGTAGGCATGATAAAGCTTGGAATTATCACAAACTTGGAATTGGATCCGGCTTCGTATATTGAATTATTTGGATAACGATTTGGTACCATCATCCTTGCGTTTTTTTTTTTTTATTTGACGCGGCTTCGTATTTTGATAATGAATTATTGGAATGACATTTTGGTACGAATTTCTTTGGGTTTTATCATTTTTTTTTTCTACAGTTACTTGGTATTTGACCTGGCTTTGTCTTTTGATATTGAACTATTGCAATAAAGAAGAGGTACCAGCTACTTTTGATTTAACCAAATTTTGTGGGTTTTAAAATATTTTCTGTAAACAAATTATGTGGGATTTTATAAATTAGGTTTTAAAATATTTTCTATGCATTGATAAAAATTCCTGAAAAAAAGTACAATTTAATTTAATTTAAATTCAATTTAACAACTTACCCGTCAATGACGGGTACATTACCTAGTCATAAATATAATAAAAGGCCAAATTCGTACTCATTAATTTATAAGCTGTTCTACGCTATTATTTATATTATAATTCGTAGTTTGATATTATCTTCGTACAAATTTATTAGACCTATAAGGGGCTGAATGGATTTAAACAGCGCGTCGCATAGTAGCTGTTGGTAGTCGGAGATAAGAGATGTAAGTACCTCCACCCCAAATGTGGAAGTGACTCTCGGCTCATGTCGGGATGATCCCCAAACAACATGCGCCTTATCAGGGTAAACACCGCCCTCTGGATTCGAGAATGGATATTTCAAGAGAAAGCTGCTACGAAAAACATCTTACAGGCGTTTAAGGATCCGGCATAACATGGAGAAGTTATGATTCATCGGACGTTCTAAGAGTTTGAAAATAAATCGAATATTTTAATTTTTAAGTGCAAGAGAATTTAATGAATATCAAACAATGGAAACGTTGAAATATATATATCATTTCTTGTCCCGACTTCCAAACGATAGCCTTGAGGATCACCCACACGTTTGGGTCGAAACGTCGGCTAACCCAATAAAAATATTGACTCAAATTCCTGACAAATATTTTCCATCCAAATATATCATTAATTTATTTATTTCGACCAATCATTTATACTGTGCTCTGATTCGCTGGTCCTCAATCAATGTTTTTATAGATGTTAATCGTTTCTGGCTCTTTTCTTAATAATTGTTATAGATCTGTAGAGAATCTGTGTCTCATGAGATATACAATCCGCTAGTACGTGTGGTGCTGTTAAATCACAGCCACAGTAGGAACATAGTAGTTCTTTTCTTTTCTTTATTTCATTGCGAATCGACTATTGCCAATCCTGAGAAGGGTATGAATCACCTCTTTACTTCGTGTCAAGTTTAGATCTCAATTGGAACGTCTTAGGTATTGTACTATCATTCGTAGTTTATTGTCCCTGATTTTGAACCCTTCATTCTGCCACTCCATTTTCGTAGATCCAAGATATTAAGTCAATGTGATCAGTTGTTGAGAATGCGTGGTCGCTTTTTATCACTAGTCTTTCTCATCAACCTTTTCTTTTTCTGCAATTCCACTGTGTCTAGTTAGCCATAAAAACAATACTCTATAATGTGAGTCTTTCACTATTTTCAAATAATTTATTTCTATAACTAGAGGACGTGTAATAAGCGGATCGAGTAGAGATTGAAGGACAGATTTAGAATCAGAACAAATGACCGAGCGGTGGAAATCTGGAGTTATATTGCTAACAGTGCAATAGATTCCTAAAAGTTTCGTGGTGTTTTTGCATTCCGTGGTGCAACACTGCGGAGAGTGGTTGCAATGAAAATTGAGTGATTGTGATTGTCAAATTTTGATCCATCTGTGCTAATGAAGGTCCAATCGCGATGAGCGGCTCTAAAGTTTTAAAATTTTAAAATTAATAGATCACACTATTCGTTCTAAATATATAATTTAGAGATACTTAAAGGCACGTTCGCACATACCTTTATCTTAAATGATTGCTCCAAACAGTTCATTTTTATTAGTTTGTGTTTTCTTTTGGTTGAATATGAACCGAAAATAATATTGTAAACAAAATTTTTAAATCTCTCTATGTTCTTTTTTCTTTTAGGTGAAAATTTTATAATTTTATAAAACACAGCCTTATTTTATTTTAAATTTTTTATTATTATTTTTTTTATGATAAATGAATGATATCTAAATTAAATATATGTATATTCATGTATTTTAACGTTTAAGGGCTGTCAACCACCGAAAAATATTTGATCGGTAAATATTATTAATTATTTGTAGTAAAGAATTATGTATATCAAGTTTATAAAAAAAATATGACTTCCTTTGGCAATATTTTATTTCATTAAAATTGATTCTACCAATATTATTTATCAACTAACTACTAATCATAATTTAGTATGATTTTGTTAATGGGTTCATATTTGCTTCTGGTATTGATATAAATATATATTTTTAAATTATAACTTATTTATTTCAACTAATGTATGGATAGACGTGTTGGAAAAATATTTTAAAAAGTCATCCCTAAAAGCATTATATTTCCTATGCTATTTTTTAAAAAAAAATATGTACAGGACTATTTATTTATTTTTTATCGATATCCTACCATTTATGGCATACAGGGATTGGGGGAGGATGGGAGAGAAGAGGTTGTTGTAGAGGTACAATCTAACTTGTTCTAACCAGAATGGGAAGGTCGAGATTAATTCCATGCGTCCGCCATGAAATTAATTTTATCCTGCCCAGACCGGATTCGAACCTTTACACTTCAGTAGTAGTAAGTCATCTTAGTGTCGCCAGTTCCTGTTTTAACCTACAAACTCCCCTCCCCAACTTTCCTAGCTTAGTGACAGTCACACATGGTGCGTTTTTTCTTGTTAAGTTACATTGAGTTATTAGCTGAATCATCTTCTTCCACGACTACTATTGTAGGCATCCAGTAAGTTTTAAAAATATTTTTAAAATGATAATTCGCTTAGTTTTGCTCTTTTGAGATATTTATTAGGAATTTAGTTTTCCAGAATTATTTTCTCTATTTTTATTTTATTTTTATAATATATTTGTATTAACCCCTCTATTCAATATTTTAGATCAAAAAATTTTCCCTTATTTTTTTATGTTGTTTCATATAACTTTTTATTAATAGCTTATGATTAGAAATTTAAACATTCCAATCATTTTACCGATTTAATATATAATATTAAAAGGAATATTTTGAGTATAGTTGGACAAAAATTCCTTGGACTTCAAGGAATGATTCAATATTAAATTATTTAGTCAACTTTTTTTTTTGTTCCATTGCAATTATAGTTATTAAAAAAATAAATAAGCACCCAAAAATTAAATCTTAGATCCTACTGATTGGGTGCACATTTTATTTTAAGTGAAAAAATTATGCATTGGTTCGATGTATTTTTTTTATTCGTCCTGTTACTGCTGGTTGTTTCGCTTCTTCAAATCGTTCCCCTGGCAGGAAACTTGGTCCTGCAGATGACCAAGACCAGATTGAAGAGCAATGAAGACAAGTTAGGTCGATATATGTATATAACTGGTATAAATCCCTAGTCGCCGTCTGGCCGGGCGCGGCGGTCGATCCGCCCGTCTCTCCCCCTCCCCTCCCCCCCAGC